TGCACTTGATTTTTTTAAAGAGTCATATATACATGTTTATATACATATATATTATGAGTCATTTAGCCTTGCATTTAGCACTTTATGATATGGAATAATTTTATTTGTTGATAAATTACAACGTTTTTAATTTATTGTATGATTTCAAAAAGATATATAATATATGAGTAATATTATTCTTCGCTTAAAAATATAATACGTAATTTCAATTAATAAAAAATTTTTAATTGAAATATATGTATAGATTTAGAAGATTACATATTCTAAATTATAACGTTAAAGGATTCATTTTCTCTCTTATATTATATTTGGAAAATTAATAGAACAGTAAAATTAGTAGAATGTTTACATAATTATTGAACTACAAATGTTAATAAAGTATAATATTATATTTTCTTGTATATAATATTATATTTTCTTGTATATAATATTATATTTTCTTGTATATAATAAAATCTGTTTCACTAAACATACCCTATAACTTATGCAAGAAATGTGATCAAGTGATGTCTCAAGGTTAAAGTATTAATAACTTACTATAAACAATTTAAAAAATTCACACAATTTACGGTCTTCTTTAAGTAGTATAAATATAATTAGATATTAAGTTCTTATTTTCCAATTAATATCGGGTGAAGTTTATTTCAATGGAAATTTAATTTTAAGTTTAATTTATCGAGATCGGACGTTGAAGACCGGAAAGATATGACATATTAATTATGGCCTCACGCCAAATTCCTTTTTGACTCTATCCGCTCCTGGTTTGAATAGTATATTCGAAGCAACGCTTTGTTCCGCGTTCCCCTACTCGCAAACGTGGCACAGTTGCGGTAGTAGCCCCATGATACTGTTCGCATGATGAGCACGCGACATGTGCGAATCATTACATGCTTGATTGTCTTATCTCTCGTAGCATACGTAGCATACACGTGTCAAATGCAAAAAACAGTTACGATAAGCTTCTTTCGCGATACTGTTTCGTATTTTTCTTAAAAAAAAAATATTCTCACAAATCTTGACTGAAATAACTCTTCCGATTGATTTTCTATTTTCATCTTTCTCAATAATATATACATATATGTAAATAAAGCTCGAGATAAAAAAATTAGTAATCAGAAATAAAATCATTCAAAGATAATTTGCATTGTTAATAAAAACAAAAAATTCAGAAAATAAAATGTTTTAATTAAATTTAATAAAATAATCAATTATTCTCGGTAATTTTGTTAACAAAAGATAAATCAGACAAATATTCATATGATTAATGGCTTCCTTATGAAATCATAAATTAATCTTGTCAAATTCATATCTAAATTAAGAAAGACTATTGATTGAAATTAATCTTGAGCAATCTGCTTAAATTAAAGCTTTCTTGATTTATATATTTAATATACTTGTTACATAATCTATGTATGTCAGATGATGTATGACGATTTATGAAGCCTTTTAGAGACATTTCCTAATTGCCCTAGAATTCAAGCGCGCATTTCTAGGCAAAGCCGATTGTAGAAAAAATGAGAAAGACATTATGAAAAGGGAAGGGATTTATTTCCTTCTTATTTCCTTCCTTTTATTTTCTTCTTAATGAGGATTATCATAAAAGCATGATATCGGGAAATTCCGTTTTATATATGACTTTTTGTCGACACATCCGACAGTCGAATCCGCGAAATAAATACGATAACGCAATGCCAAACCAAAATATAATTCAAGATACGGAGCTCTTCGATATGATCCATTAAAGATCTTCAACTTACTGTCATAAACCGTATGCTTTCGCGATAAATCTTTCGAAGAGTCTTTGAATCGTTACATAGAATGAACAATATAATCACGTAACGTGTTTCCATTATGTTTCTGTCATGTAAGAATTAATAAAAAATTCTTTGAAATATTTAACAGTTTACTTGAACAAAGCTAAGATTATCTTGTATAATGAATGTATACATTACAAATAACGCATATGATCTACGTATATGATCTACACGCCAAATGCAAACAAAAATACTGTATGTGACTGTATGTGACGAGAAAAATGACGCGACTGTATTCTTTATTGCGGTCGGTGTCGTAAATTTTCTTTGGTTTCGCTCTCATGCATATATAGACTTATTATGCGTATTCATTTCTCGGTTTAGAGTTCCTGAACTCGACTTACGTAATATTGCGTATGAGATTCGTTCGGATAGACTGTGGTGTCGCATTATGCCGAGTCTGCCAGCCGCAACTGTACGTTACACGCGATTTACCGTTTAATTAATCTTTCGAAAACGCAGACGATTCACGATTATTTACGATTCGCCATGAATTTACTTTATTCCTAAACTATTATTATCGAGCACAAGAAATAAAAGCAATAATGTGCGGGGAATAATAATTTATAAGATAAATACCGATATAATGCACGTTGGATGTAAAATATATTCTCATTCCACAAGAAAAAATTAAAACTTTTTCTTTTCAAACGTTCCTCCAACTTGGGACACTGTTACAATCGTACAATCGTTAATATTCATAAGCAGCATTACAAAGGTATACTTTTAACGGGCTACTTCCGGCTCTCGTGTGTCAAGTTGAAAAAACAACTAGGTTACATAATTCACGGAGGAAAAATCGTAAGCATATGACAGGCATAATTTGTCAACTGTTTCCGTAATAATGTAAAATTGCGATAAAACTGTCAGCTGTTTTCTTTGGTTGCAATTTATTATACTATATATATCTGTCACCTATAGTGATTTCACTACCCAGCAATATTATTGAAAAAGCAGATTTTTTGCGCCTTAATGTTTGATATCACAATAAAATCAGATTGATCAAATTTTACTCTAATAAAAGATAATTTATATATAAATAAAGATCATATTACTAGATATTATATAGAAAGACAAACATTAGAAATTGATTTTCTCGGTACTTTTTTATCATTTTATAATTTTATTTTATTAAAATTGAACAAAAATTCACAAATCTGATAGATTATAAATATTTATTATATAAAAACGATTAAATAAAAAACCGATTTAGAATTTATTTTCAAAAAAAATTTTATCCATAAATTAACGAATATATATTTTCTGCAAATTTACTGTTTATTGTTTGTATATAATGCAAACACTACTACAAATTATAAGTACGTATGTGTGACTTGACCTTGCGGTATCGCGTCCTCTCCGTTGCTTTCAACATAGTATATAAAAAGAGTGACCACCTGTACGTCCCCCTTGCATTCCAAACATTGTAGGCAAAGTGAGCATTTGAAAGGTTTTTATGCGACACGCGACGCAATTAGTAAAGGTAAAAAGAATATTCATAGTACAAATGCTCTTGACATTTAAAGGGCTCTTGTTCTTCTATTACTTTAAATTGGTTTATACATTCATATATTTTATATAATGGAAACTTTATATGCTTCTTTACATGCGAATTTGATATATGATTTGAGTAATTCGATATTTGTAACCGGATTAATAAAAAAATAATAAAGTAACAAATGAAAGAAAAAAATAATGTTTTATATTTTATGCAATGCTTTTTTATATTTTAAATAGAGTCATAAGAATTATTTATACAATTTTTATTTAAAAGACTATTCGCTTCAATGTCAATTAAAATAATAACTTTACTTATTTATGATAAGAATCTCGTATATTAAAATTTGATAAAGTGAAAGTAGAAAATCCGTATACGTGAATTTATTCTGAATGACGCAATAGCCAATAAAATTTCTAAAATTATAATGGAGTTTTGTTTTTGAGAGATTCCTTTTAAAATCACATTTTTTATTATAAGATTTACTTTTTTTAATAATTTAAAGAAAAACACAAATATATATTTGTTCATAATTAATAATCCTAAGAATATATATTTTTTAAATAAAAAAGCAATAATTAGACATATAAATTACAAAGAGAGAGGCTTGAGATTAGGGGCCCTAAGTAAAACTCATCGTTAAGGCAGCCCTGAGTCCGGGCTGCATCAAAAAAGTGGAGCAGAGCATCGACTTACTCGAGCAAAATGTATCTAGGAATATCAACGTTTTATCCCAGTTTTTTTAAATATTTACAGTAACAAATAATAATGATTGACGTTATATTCAAGAACTATTTTCAACTTTTCAATTACTATTTGTATTCAATGACAGTTTTTACTTTTTACTTATTATTCGTGTTTTTACTTAATTTATATTCCAATGGCTATTCAAAATATTTGCGATATATGCATAATTTGGTATCCGTCGATCCTGCATATTACATGACATTCGCTAAATACATCGAATATTGTGTAAATCTAATTGTGAATTCGCTATATAATTGAAGGATTGTATACGTATGAAATATAACAATGTAAATCAGTTTCTTGCTTACGAGATATTTAGACATTTAAGAGAATTCTAATGAAAAAGAACCAAAGGTCGCAAAAAATAATATAAAAAATAATATAATTGAAAAATATATAAAAGATCGCAAATTAAAAAATAATATAATTATAAAATATATAATTTTAATAACCATAAATCAATAAAATCGAAAATATTCTAATGTTTATTTAATTTTCATTAATCTAAATCTGATTTATGCATCGTTTTTTCTTAATTCCTTCAATTATACTTTTTACGTTACTTTTTCAAATTATATTTTATATTTTGTTACTCTCTCTCTTCTTACTTTTTTATTATGTAATATATATGTAATGTATATGTTTTATTATAATATTACGAGTACTTGTATTAACAAATCATCGAAAATAAAGCGAACGCTAAAGTACCTGGATTCTACACTAATGTTTTTCTGGATAAAAAAAAAACAAAGTCTGCATTTCCGACAATATTTAAAAATATCGATATCGCTTTTCGAAACCAGGCCTGTTTTACATTATATATACACATATCGCATATATTTTACGTTATGCATACATATGCTGTATTCGTTTCAATATAGCGCTCTCTCGCCTGTACGCAGACGAGAGTGATAAAGAGGAAAGTGAAAACTGGCGCGTACCTGCCGAAACGACGATGATGTCGGCGCCGCGGAACAGCTGATCGACTTGGCTCGGTGGGTGTCGGCCTCGGCTAACCTCTCCTTCTCCGGCACCCTGCTGCAGCTGCACTTTCTCACGCACTCGATGCACTCGCGAGGACCGATGGGAGATGTTTGAGGTTACGATTCGATTTCGCATGCGATTGTTTCTAATCGGCTGGACGTGACCACGAATTTCAATCGACACACAATTTTGCGGATATTCGGTTGACGAGACGCGTCGCTCGGGATTTACTCAATTCACGATTCTTTGTTGACGACAACACAGAATACTTGCACAGTGTCGTGACGTAATCCATGTAATTGAGAGTTATTATTTTAATAACGAATATTCGTGCGATGTCGCGATGCGACCCTTGCTCCAGCTTTCCTTAATAACGACACGATATCCATGGACAATCCTTCAAGTTATTTCAATAACGAGACGCGTATCCGCGCGACGTTCGCGAAATGTAACATTATGCTCGGCATGTTGCTATTCGATAACAACACAAATATGCGCGTGGCGTCGCGACGCAATACAGGATGTTGCTCCGATAACGACTACCTGTCAACGGCGTCGCGATGTAATATCGCACCCGGCAGGTCCATTTTAACAATGACGCGTGCGTTCGCGTGGCGTCGTGCCGATTCGCACCGCCAACTTCGCGACTATCGAGAGAGCCAACGCGTCTTTCGGCTTGATTCAAGTTACTCACGCGACATGCTTGACGTCAGGCGCCGGACGGTCCTGGGGATCGAACGCGGTATCCTCGACGCAGGACATCGGTCGCGCGTCATCGCCGTTACTAACCGTTCATGTATGTGTTCATACTTCTCGCATCCTGATGAAGCGAGACGTAACGTCGAAAAGCTCGTTCGATTCCGACGCACTCGCGGCCGGAGACCCCCCGTGGCACCGCCGATTAATCGCACAGCGGAGAGCATAAGCTGCGGCCCCGCTCTATTTATCGTTCGCGCGACGAACGAACGAAGAGCGAGCGCGAAGAAGGCGGGGGCGGCCGCCCGAAGCGCTCGGACGATCCAGACCGAGCGAGCACGAAGGCGGGCGGACTGTTTATATGTCGCATATACGTGCCCGACGATGCGCCCGCGCCCGCGGCAAAGAGAACACTGAAGGTGTCGCTCGGCGCTGCGCGGACTATATGCGGCGCGCGCATGCGCCTCGCGTCTAGTGTCTCGCGTGCCTCGTCCCGTGCGCGCTCGACTTGATGACGATTCATTCCGTCGAAAGCGTTCATTGTCCGCGTGTCTCTTTCGTATGTGTCTCTTACGTATGTATAATTTATGCTCTTAATTTTTAACCGATGATATGAATGAAGTAAGAATTAATTGATTTCTAGATACATCGTATTCCCATTGAGGTCAGGATTAATAAAAAAACAATAAGGAGATAGTAATCGGATTCTTTCTTATCTTTTCTTATAATGCTGATCTCTTGTCTCTGATAAGAATGAGTAATTTATCTAACATAAATCTATGATAATTGGCAAAATCGAGATTATATGAAAGAGGTAATTTTAATTCTTTTGAAGATTGATTCTTCTCAATTTTTGCAGATAATTTAGTTGTTCTTATTATTTATCATATTTAAGAAAATAATTAATAGGCAAATAATTATTAAATTAAAATTAAGACAGTTAATTATTTATTCATTTTGCATAAAAGTAAAAGTTCAAAAATTGTAAAGTTTAAATTTTACGGCTTGAACGATATCATGCAGCTAATTAAATATTAAAATATATGACAGAGATTTATTTGTGTTATATTGTGTTATAGGTATATTATGTAACGTTTTGAAGATATATAGTAGAAAAATTTACCTCAATAAATTAACTTAATCCTATTCAATTTTTTTAATTGAAAGAATATCATATCTTTTTAAAAATATCTGCTCAAGTAACTATAATAACACCAATCCAAAATGGAATTTAGAAAATGTGCGATCTTGAACATATAGTTTAATACGCGCTTTATTAATATTCCATAATATTACCCCGAGTTTTCCAAAAAAACATTCGTCACGTTCATGTTCATGTATACAAGGTCAAGGTCGCCTGACGAGTCTGAATATCAATGATTCTTCTTTTCTCTCTCTCTTTCTCTTTTGTACAGCTCATTTTATGTTTTCGTATAAATTCCTCGTAGTTTTTCCAAAGTTTTTACGTTATTTCTAAAGTTTTAGTTTCATGTCTATCATTGATACTTTACGGTTTATTATTCCAGTAATTTAGAAACATCTTTCGCTAAATATAAATATTATCTCATTTTAAAAGAGATTAAAGGGGAAAGTCAAATGCTTAATTATTTCACGTTTTATATTCTCATTCCGCAATTTCGTAGACGCAGAAATGCCACATTTGAATTTACACGCTCGTTTCTAAATTGTGCGTCATGACTATTGATTTTATGCGAAAAATAATAATTTCTTAATAATAATCTTATTTTGTTTAAAAAGAAAAAACAGTATTATTGTTTCTCGGGATGATCGCGATTTAAAAACGCGCTCCGAAAATTCCCCATGTACATACGTGCAAATTTATATAAGTTGGTACCAAGCAATACCAATAGACAGACAATTTCAGTTGACTGTTAGTATTATCGACTCGCGTGATCCGCAAGATCATCCACCGCTTTTTGGTAAAGTATTTCTGATTTTCTTAACGCGTTGTGTACGATAATGTGTGTGCTTGTAATAACGCGTGAAAAGATATAAAGACAGCTCGAATATCTCGATTCTGTACGAATTTTGCGGAGAATGGAGCGTTCGATGAGACGATACGCGACAAGTTATGTCGATCGGTTCGTTCGACATAATCCATATTTCTGGAAAAATTCGGCTCTTTTTATTCTGTTATCTTTTTTTATTGAGAGATTAAATAAGAGACGCGCGATTTTTCGAGAGATCATTGCATTGTGAAATAAGTTACGAAAGATATGTGAAAAACAAAGCGCTTTGAAGTTAGGCCTGTGTCTTTGTAATGCTTCGAGAATCGCAAGCGATTTGAAGGGTCGCGATTGACTTCTAATGAAAATTTAGTCCCAAGAGGTGTCGCCACGTAATGCAGTTCGTTATCGAAAGATTCGAAGATATCGCGAAATATGGCGTCAAATTATTAAAATCGCGTTCCCGCGAAAACGAAACGCTTCGGTGAATTCGTTATTAATTGATCTTTTGTCCGCCGAGTACGCGATTTTCGTTGAAAAGCTCTGAGAATTATCTGAGAATTATAATATCGCGAAAATGTCAAATATTCGAAACGGCGGTATTTGCGATTATTACGTATTTTCATTCACTCATGATATTTAAACGATAATTTACCGAGTTAAAAATGTACCGAGATATATTCGAGCTCATATAAAGCGCAGTAAAATCGCGAAGTACGGCATCGAAGATCCTCGCGTCCGGGTTCGTGCAGTGATCGTAACTTTAGTGTCGCTATTTTATCGTCTTTGCATATAAACGAGAAAATCGGGAATGTGTCGAAAGTTTCGTGAGTGATAAGTGTAATATCCACATATTGTGAATGATAATAGTGATAAGAGTGTGAAAAATTTCGTGAATAATAAGTGATAAGTGCATCAGTTCATCGTTGGACCAGTGGGATTACTTGAATTTGGATTACTACCTTTCTTCTGGATCAATTAAAGGGGATTATCATCGGCATCCAGATCGGTGAGTCTTGTTTAAACAAAATTTTTTTGTTATTTTATTAATGCTCTGTCACTGTATCAGTTTTGTTCAAATTCATATTTACTTATTTTTGTATAACTTAGTTATTAGCATGCAATTTTTTATAATTACACAATCAATTATAATTACTACTGAAGAAATACATTCTTAAATGAAAAAATTAAATACAAAAAAATGAAAAATATTGAATATTGCAAAATATAGACCGCGATATTAATAGAATATGTTATAAAAGTTCAAAATAAAAATCAGTTTGTATTTGAATATTCAAGTAATTTTTCAAATAATTAAAGAAAATACAGGATACTACATATAATAATATATATATATATAAGTCAGATACTATATATATGACAAATTTTATAGTACATAATAATACATTATTAATATAAAAGGATTCATTTCATTCATGTATGTGTTTGCAATTAATGTAAGAAAAAGTTTTGCAATTTTTTGATTGTATATTTGACTATCCATTCGAGCTTGGAATATGCACCTATCATTTCTGATTACTTGTGATTACATGCAACTAATAACCAATTAAGTGTTTAGATCTATAGTATTTTTTTAAGCAAGAAAACAATAAGCATTACTCTAATTTTGTTACTTCAAGAAATGTTTCATATGTAAAGTTTGTATTACATGTGAAAAATATATTTAAAATGAGATTTATCATTTATTTTTAATATTATTTTTTATTAATGTAAAAATATTTAAACTATTGTGTTCAATTAATCTCATCTTCAAGAATTAATTTTTTTATATATTGTAGAAAAATTTACATTTATTTGAAATTATTATTATTAGAATAAATTAACAGAAAATTAACTATCATGGGAAAATTATTTAAAATATTTTTAAATCATAAATTCTTATATATAATTTCAGAAAAATACAAAATTTTAAGAAAGCATTAATTATAACTCAAGTCAAATTAAATGCAACAAATATCAATTTATATATATTATTATTAATGACAGAGTTAAATTTACATGTGTTCATGCTGTTATATAATTCTTTAGCTGGCTCAAAGAAATATTCATATTTTTCATATATGCAATAGAATATTATATTAAAATATAAATGCTGAATCTACAACAGTTACATGTCGATTTATGTATATATAAATATCTTACATGTGTAACTTTCATCGACTGTACAGTAATCATTCACAAAAAAATGGTATAATTGAATATTTCGAGATTTTTTGACACATCTCGCATTTCCAGATATATCACTTATTTATTCAATTAACATTTTTATTACGAATTTTATAGAAATATGAAAATATAAGTAATAAATATGACGAGATCACTTGATAGGTTTTTGTGGTTTAGTTGCTCCATGTGAATCATGTTACAATTTTTTTGTTATTTATTAATAATGATATTTCATAATATCATTAATATTTTGTGAATAAAAATCGGATGAATTCAGAAGTGCGAAATGCGCGTGAGAAATTTCGAATACTATCTACGATTTCATGTCGGGGATACGCGAACTTTTAAGATTAATCCGCTCACTACTGCTCATCTTTATCCTTTGCACCGTGTTTCAAGATTCGAGTAAACTCTAGATAGTCAAACATTGAGCCTTTGATCGGTGCTTCACGGTACATTTCATCTACATCGTCATCCGTGAATCTATAGATAAAAGAGAATCCGTTTTGTATTATCAAGCACAAATAATTGATTAATCGATTTTGTTTTTAACAAAATTGTATTATATATAGACATTTTTTATATATACATTTCTTAGATTTTAATATCATATTTAATAGATTAAAAATTAATAAATACTGAATATAAGAGAATTAACAAGCTGTAGACAATATTACTACAATCTTTTATATTATTAATAGATATAATTATATAACTATATAATCAATTATTACTGGCTAATCATTGTTTTATCTTTATTTTTTTGAACAAAATTTTTATATACAAAAATATTAAATTTAATTTTTAAATATTTTTGTAACAGCCACAATTCAATAATTTAATAATTTAAATTAATATAATTCAAATTTATTTAAATTAATATAATTAATATAATTCAATAATTTCAATTAATTTTGTGAATTTTGTTCAAAAATTGATATAATTTGATATGTAAGATATTACCTGTCACCCATTGTTGTGAGCAATTCACGAAGGCGCTCCTCATTTATATGACCGGTATTTTCTTCATCAAAACAACCGAAAGCATTCTTAATTACATCTTCGGGATCAGTCCCTTGCAATCTCTCTCCAAACAATGTCAAGAACATTGTAAAATTGATAGGTCCAGGTGCTTCGTTCATCATTGCCTCCAAATATTCATCAGTAGGATTCTTACCTATAATAGTTAATTAAATTTTCTTTAAATTCTATTCATATCTTATTTTAATTGAAAAGGAGAAATGTAGTAGTTTTAAATAAATATATAAGCTGTAAAAATCAAGAAATTTTCTATATTTGCTTACCCAGAGAGGCAAGCATATCATGCAAATCCTCCTTGTCAATGAATCCGTCATGATTCTGATCAATCATGTTAAAAGCTTCTTTGAATTCCGCGATTTGCGCTTGATCAAACATCGCGAAGACATTCGACGTTGCGCGTTGAGCGCGTTTTTTCGTGGTGGCACGACGTCCAGCAGTTTTGCGGGAAGACATTTCACACTTACTGAAACAAGAATTAAATTTTAATTAGTGTTTCTGAATAATTTCATATTAAAAATCACACACAATCTCTCAATTAATGGCACTTATGAAAATTTTCTATTTCTGTAAATTTAAATTCTGAAATGATATTTATTAATATAATATAAATATTGATCCTTTGAGAAAATAGAAATATATATGAATATTTAATAATTTAATCGTAAAATATTCTTGGTAACACTTTTCAATAAATATTAAATTTGAATTCTTTTTTTAACAATAGTAATTTGAAACAATCAATAGTTTGCTAGATTGTGCTAAATTTGGCATATTGTATATTTTGAAATTTAATTAATAAATTTTTATATCATATATTCGCGAAGAAACAATATTTAATATGATTTATTCATAGAGCATATATTTTGTAAAAACTGATTTGCTTGAAAAATAAATTATAATTTTTTTATCTTATAAATTCGGAATTTTAATGAAATAAAGATGCTTCCTTTTTAAAAGAAACATCGACAAGTTCGAGCTCTAAAATCGCCATCGCCATTGGCGTTTATTTTTAGTAATCAATTCATGATACCCTGACGTGACCGAAATTGGGATAAAAATACTTGGACGAAAGGAGATGCCAGACTAGAAGGGGTCGTTAATCTCTTTGTGTACTCGAATGTCTTCTGCTTTATATACAACTTGTCTGATCGCTCTAATATAACTTTTATATTAGAAAACACAGGCCACAAATTTTTTGTTCAATTTTGATAAATATGTATCTTAAAAATATATCTACTTAAAAAAGTTTAAGAAGAAAAAAAGAAATCGAAATATTTAAATTATATATAATTTCTTAAATATTCTGATTTTTTAAGAATGTTTATAAAATACTTATTGTTATATACTTTCTTTGCATAAAGATTTCTCACATTTCTGTTTTTATATTTATAAAAAATACATATCTAATTTGAAAAAAATAAATGAAATTTTCATTTGAAAGTAAATGTCGCGAATTCTGCAGTAATTTTACGTTCATAAATACGCGTGCTTACTCATCTCTCTCAAATCGTCCTACTTTCACTCGAGTTTCCTCAGTGCTGTCAAAATCAGTCCAATGAAAATTTTAGCACATAAATTGAGTTAGAATAATTTTATTTCAATACTTGCAATTTATAGATTAACTTTATTCGGAATTAATTTATTTCAATGCTCAATTTTTAGTGTAAAAAATTTAATCACTTTCAAATTTATACAATTGTTTCAATCCTGATACCATGATGATGTCCATTGTATCTCCTGCTATCTACGGCACTGCGCATGCTCACAATACTTGTACATTTCTTCCAAATCGCATATGTAAATACATAACCTAACCAAGAGATATCCTATTTGCATCTTATCCTTTTTCACTAGGAATAGCAATCTTCCTTTATTTTAATTAACATAACTTGGGTAAATTATAACTGAATGACAATGGCGACTCTTTCGAGAGTAAAATTTACTGTTAAACCATCGAAGTTTCACGGAATTGAGTTGAAGGAACGATACGATTTTGTTCGATAACCTGATTATTTTCGCCTGATTTAAAGAAGAAAGATCGAAACGTACTCACTCGATGAACAAGAGTAAATAGAGGTTTGAAAAACGTCTGAAAACTGGAAACGAGAACAGATCGAAGCTTCACGATGAACACTGAGTCACGTTACGCGTCACTCTGTGGTCATTCACCACACCCGACCAACCAGCACCATCTGCTGGAAGATAGATGAATGGGCCTGTATGAGCCAGAGCTCGCGAATGGAGAAAAATTCAGGCCATTGCCAATAGTCGATCAGGATTGTGCTCTGGCCTTTTGTTTAAAAAATATTCGCAAGATAGCTTTTATCATTCAGTTAGTATAGATTGTTTCATTAACAAAATAAGCAAGAAAACAATTTATATACCAAATAATGAGATTAGTAATAAAATTTTTTTGTGAAAATTACTATATTTTAATCAATTTGCAACAAGATTTTAATTTGAGATTTTTATAAGCAGACAAAATGTAGAATATTAAAAAATTAACATGATGAAAAATGATGAGATAATTATGAGAATTAATATAATGTTTATTTAAATTGTTGGAAAATAATATTTACACAGCAATAGTTTACATATATAAATATAAAGGATATTTTGAAAATTTTTTGGAATATGCTCTACAAGTAATTACAGCCCTGAACTGGGAATCGCTTCCATACATGGGTTAATGTCTCGTATACCGATACATAGCCATATAAGGATACAAAAGAGACTAGTACACTTTCTGCAATCTTTCGTAATGACAGTAATCTCGATCTTATTCGATTCTCATAATCACTAAAAATTGAAAAAAAAAATATTTTTAAATAAGAAATCGATAAGAAAATTTATTTATGATATTTTTTCGAAAAGAAAATGATTATTTTAATTATGGAGAATAAAGTATTTTATTTATCAGATCAGTCCTGTCAGTATATTATCATTTGCAGGAAATTAGAATGATTTATTGGATTCAGATTAAAATTATATCTTAAGCCTTTTCATTTGCGATGCAAATTTTGCGACAACTTTTAAATAATCGCCAAAGCAATGAATACTAAAATTATTGTTATTAACTTTGTAGTAGTATATTATTTGTCAGATTATTTAGATGCAGATCATCTTATATTTACCTAAAAAATTTTCAAATTAAGTATACTCTACATTTATATATATATATAAACATTTACTATGTACATGTTTGTTTCAGTAGTTCATAAAATTTAAATTATTTCTGATAATTATATTATTATAATATAAATACTTATATTTGAGAGAAATGTCTCAAAATAAACGAAACATGTTATTGAAATATCCTATATATAATTATCAAAAACTTATAATAAAAACTTATATATCAAATAACATTTAAATTAATGTAAATAAAAAATTTATTCGTTATCTTGAGTTTCTACTATGCAAGAGTAGAACGAAATAATGTGACAAAATGTCAAGTACAACAAGAGCACGGGTTTCTTTATTTACGCACGATCAGAAACTTAGCTACAACGTGACACTTAAAACCTACGCATAATAATGAATCTAAATGAATCAATACACCATATATACAGAATCGCGAACACACATAATTGATCCTCGGAGAAAAAAAATCTCCTCGAAAGAACGAGCGTCATCGACGTACAATCCTTTTCAAACTTTTCACGCTCGTTCTTTTATACATTCTCTCGCGAAAATTATTTACATGAATTGTCGCACTCTCGAGACGGGCGGTAATATATAAATAACGACAACAAGTTCTTCGGTGTTTTCTGTACATAAAGTATCGTCTCGTGAACGACGAGAATCGCGCGAGAGAGATCTCTCCAGATCGCCAACAATCGCGCGCGATTCTCGATGAAAACGAAGAGGCCGATGAAATTTTAAACTATCGCACAGACACACCATTGATTGTTATTCCGTTTCTATTAGGAACCGGTTCGGCCTCGTAATGTCCGGATCTGCCGTACGTTTTTCTTGGCTGACCATTATATCTGTTGTAAACATATCAGTTTATTAGAATAATATCGGTTTTAGAGTTTAGAATTTAAAATTTAAAAAAATATTTTGCATCTCTATTTGTCCGATATCTTATTTATTTCTCCACTTTTATAGATCGAATATTTGTAAATAATTAATTTTATTCGATTCGCTGTTTTAACCATTTTATATTAACAGTTAATCTAATAGAGAATTATCAATATATTATAAGATATTAATATGCATATTATAGGATATTAATATTGTTTACCAAGATCGCGTCGCAAAATCCTTACACACATTTGCAACTTACCTATACGTGCTTAAACCACTTAAACTGTACGGATTATCGTAAAGACCATCTTCGGGAATGTTTTCATACATGGTGTTGGGTGTACCGTCGTTTAATGTCGCGTAAGACATAACAGCGGCATTTTGATCCTCCTTCCTTTCCGCTGCCTGAACGTTCTCGGTATTTTTCACCGGCGTAGCTTTTCGTCTATGAATGTATCGATGAATTAATATATTTTTACAAATTATTTTCGCGAAAAAATAGATTTACTTCGAAGAAAGTAGATACTTACAGCCTAAGATAGACTAGTCCGAGGATAATTAATATAAATATAATCACGCCAGCTCCGATACCGACACTCGTTCCAACACCTTGAGGTTCTGCCACTTCGTTCCCAGCTACTGCGATAATAATTTCTTATATTAAGTGTGTGTTTCAAATGTTTCTCAACTTTATAAATAAATTTATTTCCTCGAGACATTTACCGTTTGCGATTTATTTCAAATCGCTTATTAGCCGTTGTAGGAAATAATTTTTAACATCTTAAGGAAATTATTTAGTCAATGAAGCTTAAGAAAACATATACTATATATACTTAAAAAAAAAAAAAAAAAAAAATATATATATATATATATATATATATATATATATATAAATTATACGAAATATTTTAAACATTTTGAATATATTAATTATTTGAATATATTAAATATATTAGATATACTCCAAAAGAATATATATATATTTTACATTCGCATTTAGGTTCATCCCCGCTCCAAAATCCTGTATCCAAACACTTCCTCAGAAATATACCAACTCTTTCATACTGTGGTAAACAGTGATATTCCGCGGCTCCTCCATAAGTCGTCGAGCCATTCACTATTATCACTCGACCGTTCTCTATCGGTCCCGGATGCTTGCAATCAACCGCTGAAAAAATATCTCGAATGAATTTTGAGCTCTTTTAATGATTCGTTCAATAATAAGGATATTATTATCGACCAATAAGAAAATTTCAATCGATAATATTTTCGTAGATTATTTTTTATCTTATATGTATAATACAGAAAAGAAAATTTTTGAAAAATATTATTGCATTTATTATATGAAAATATATATTGAAAATAATAAATTTTCTCAAAGACAAATTGGAGAGGTTTTTTTATATTAAAAATAAAAAATATAATATTATTGCTCTTAAAAAATTTCTTACAGAAACAAGCAGGTGTTGTACCGCTCCACGATCCATTTTGTAAACAAATCCTGGTTTCATTTCCTTCCATATAAAATCCACGTGGGCAGCTATAATGCGCCACTCCACCCACACTGTGAGTCGATACTTGCGTTGATAATACACCGGTTTTCTCGGGATCTCGGCATCGAATTTCTATAAATGTAGATTTAATTATCTCGCTGCAATTTAATGCTATTGCCATTTTAATTTTGTCTAACATAATTAATAGTTTTAAAATAAAATAGTTGAGCTAAAATTAACTTAGAACTAATTGAACAATAAGATTTCTCTATTTATTTTTTACGGAACATTGATGTGACAGTTCGGTTATTAAGGCTTTTAAAGAATTAAATATATCCGAGAGATTACCTCGACAGACAGGAGTATCGCTGCTCCAGGTACCATTTTCAAGGCACAGTCTTCTGGCAAAGCCATCTAACTCGAAATTACCGTCGCATTCGTAAAGTGCAGCTGCTCCATAGTATGTTGCATTCGATGTCAATGTATAACGTCCGTGTTGAATATGTTCGGGTTTACCACAGTCAACATCTGTCAGAGGAATGCTTATTCAATAAATGTCAAATCATATATATCTGATATTTCAAAATTTTATTTAAAAAGTGATATTTAAATGATATTAAAAAAAAAACGAATATATTTTATATAACATAATTAATATATGTGATATAAGTTTATTATTTAAAGAGAGGATGAAACATCCTCTGAATGATCAATGACCGTTATTTATCCTACATAATTTTACACGTATATAATAATTTATCGATTTGTAGAATGCAATTTTCGATGATTAGATGCTCTAGATATGTACTTACAGACGCATTGCGGTACTTCGCCGCTCCACTTTCCGTTCTCCTCGCAAGTGGACAGAGGTTCTCCGACCACCTTATATCCTCTCTCGCACCTATATTTTGCCAAGGCCCCAATCTTATACGAAGTCGCGCCCGTGTTCGAATTCTCCGCAGTTCCTGTGCGAATAAGTGTCCTTCCATACATTCGATCGTTTCCAGTCACCGAAAGAATTCCGTGTTCTGCTAGTACAGGTTCCGTACAACGAATCTCTGAAGTAAACATAAATATGACATAACATGGGCGCACATAAATACTGAATTCTCATAAAACTCGTGGCCAAATTTTTACGATCTATCGAGAAAGTGGACATAAATGTGATCGTGTCTTTTATGAACGTCTTATGTAAAGGAGGAATATGGATATCTTCTTCTCATGTCAGTTGTAATATCGCGCAACTTTTAATCCAATTTCACTTAAGTGATAATAATCTTATTTTAGTAATACTTTCTGATGTATTTATACCTTCGCATTTTGGAGTAGCATCACTCCATTGACCGTTGTCCAGACAATACCTTCTCGAAACTCCATTCAATTTGTAATTCCTCGTGCAGCTGTATGTGATTTCGCTGCCGAGATGAGTCGTTCCGTTCGCGTAATCCACAGCGCCATTTAAAACCGGAAGAACCTTGCCGCAATCGATATCTGCAGAATAATTCTAATTAACATAATCCTAAGAGCAATTATAGTACGATTAAAGATATATGACTAACAATTGTGGAAAAATACATATTATTCCCATAAGAATTTATAATCTTATAATTCCACAAAAATATGAAAAATATAATCAGAAAATATAATCTATACAGAACATTATATAAATAAACATTTTTTAAATTGTGAATTTGAGACGGTTTTTCTAAGCATTTTCTTAAGCACTAATAAGCTGCTGTTAAGAGATTTTATTTAGAGCGAAACCCTTTGACGGTAAATGACGACCTTCGTTCTAAATTATACTCATTTCCTATAGAATATAACGTAATTATCTCGAGCAGTTTTGATGAGAAATCAGATAACTAAAGATTGACTCACACTCGCAACTCGGCACCTCCCCTGTCCATTCTCCGTCTTTGCCGCACAAATGCTTGACCTCGCCGTGAAGCAAATAACCCACGTCGCAGTTATAGTCGATAACACTGTGAACATTGAAATCATATCCCACTACGAAACCTCCTGTGGGCACTTCCGGCTCCTCACATGTAATTACTATATAAAAAAAAATATAATGATAAATATAGCGCGAATTAAACATCACATAAAATATTATTAATGACAAATATTTTTATATTTTTTAACTTAATCTTTACATAAGAACTTTTTTCTCCTGTAACTAAAGTTAATTCTTGCATAAAATTTTAAAAAATTTTAATGAATAAAAATATGAGCTTTTCCAGAAATTATTTTTTATAAAATAATTCTTACATTCGCACGATGGCGTGTCGTGGCTCCACTTGCCCTCTTTGGTGCACTCTTGCTTTCCTTCGCCCACCAACCAGTAATCTTCTTGACACGTGTAGACGGCTAAACTGCCTACCGTGGTCGTACCGTTAGTTAGAACAACCGTTCCGAATTCGATCTGAGCCGGAGCCCCACAATCAACGAATCGGCATTGCGGTGCTTTACCGGACCATTCGCCTCCGATATTGCACGTGAGAACCTTAATTGTCAATCGAAGAATGGCATATATAAAATATAAAAATATATAAAATATATAAAATATCTTATTTTTAATATATATTTACACATAAAATACATAAATAGGAAATAGTATATAAAGTATATAAATAAAAAAAAAATCTGAAAACTTACATTATCACCAAACAAAATGAATCCATTTTGGCAGGAGTAAGTGGCGGTGGAGCTCACTCTTCTTCCGGTAGTTGTCACGATGCCACCATTTACTTCCGGTGGTTCGGGACACCAGTCAACTAAAAAATAATTAGACGTATAATAACAGACAGACTGAAGGTAGAAAGTATACTGAAACGCGATTCTTTTACTGAAACGCTAACATGAAATTATTTTCTAATTAGTAGTATAATGTACTAGAGATTTTATAATTATAAATAATTATATATATAATATATGTATATATACAGAAAATAAATAAATAATAAGAATAATAATTTGATGTTGAATTATTAGTAGTTGATCTTATTTATGAAAATAAGACATGTAACTACATAATTTTTCAATATGATTTATTAATATTTACTGGGTATTTAACTTTTATATGCAATTTTGCAATGGCTAATTTGCAAGTATAATTTTTTAAAACTTGTAAAAGATCAGAAATAAACAGCTAAATACGAAAAACATATTTTACTTACACAGACATTGAGGTTGGTGTCCGCTCCAGATACCACCATCTCCGCATCTTCGTCTCGTGTCACCCACTAGCGTATAATTTTCTTTACACTTATAATCCGCGAGAGCGCCGTGTGTGGTTCTGTTCTCGAGTAATGTAACAATACCATTCTCCAAATCTGGTAGGACACCGCAGTCGACAACTGTAAAAATATTTTTAAAAATGACGGAGGTTGGGCGTAACAGATGTAACTTATACATTTATACATTGCATGTCAGCATTAAATATAATTAATAAATTATATGATTCTCATATAGATAACATAACACAAAGTTCATTTCAAAATTTTGAAATGAATATTCTTTAAATTTTGAAATGAATGTTCTTTAAACAGCTTTAAACACAAAATTAATTGTATAATATTCGAAAAAATTAAATTATAATGCATCATTGCATATTCATTTGCACATAGAAGAATAATTATTTGGAAAGGAAATTTGTGGAATCTAACTTCATACTAGCCTTCAACATTTTTTTTTTTAATAATTTTCTGAATCATATTAAATATATATTAAAAGTAAATAGTAAGTAAAAATTAAGAAATGGCAAATGTGTGCAATTGATGTGCAAATGATGTATAGAAATTTAATTTTTTGGTATAATAAGGAGACAAATCGATGAATGAGAGAGACAAAGAGAAAGAGAAGAGAGAGAGAGAGAGAGAAAGAGAGAGAAATTAAAGTTAAAAAATAAAGTAAGGAGCAATTACATTTGTGTGTATGACATTATTTAAGGTGGTGAATGATTAGATTGTGAGACGATTGAAATCTCACACTCACATTTGCACGTGGGCACGTCACCGCTCCAAAAACCGCTTGATCCGCACATTCTAGACTTCGATCCAATCAACATATAACCGTCCGGGCAAACGTAATCTATCGTGGATCCTATTGTTCTCTTAGATCCCACGATCGTAGTATTTTCTGATTTTTCAGGGCTGCCACAAATCGGTGGTCCTACGAAAAATAAAATGGATAAATAAGATATGTATTTCTATGAGACGCGGTAATTTTAGGAATTTTTTTTGCACATGTTTCATTTTTCTTCTTTCAACAATCGCAGGCGAAATTTTTTTTCGCGAGAATCGGACTTTTTTCTGTCCATATACAAAATTTCTATTCACACTTACTGCTCTGGCAGATCCAGTGAAGGTAATCGAGGTTGCAACCGACGTCATTCCAAAGCCAACCGCGACCTCCGTCCAGCACGACACAGTTTTGTTCGCCGTTGTAATTATTTGGCTGCTCTTTGCCCCAGGATGGTTTTTGCACAATCTCGCCTGTGATAATAATTCTGTGTTAATATTCTAATTAATTTGATACACACAATTGATTTTTTATTCTTATATTTTTATTTTTCTTAGCAAGAATTTTTAATAATATATATATAATAATATATATTATAATTGCATTAAATATATATATATATATATATATATATATATTTATTTATATATTTATATATATTGTAATATAAGGAAATTAAAATTCGACAAAAGGTGAGATTTTCGTAATAAACCATACTTATATTTTTATAAATCATCAAGCGATTACTATTTATCTGTTTATTTTGTTTTATATTTTATTCAATCAATATTATTGATCATATCATACTTTGTTATATATTGATCATATGACACTCGTGTTAACGATGAATGATTTCATACATATAAATAGAAATACATATATTTATTAATTGATGCATGGGCTGCACGTTGGAAGATGTAACTTCCTGTAGATTTCGACACGGCAATAACTTTCACGTTCTATTTATCGTCAGACGACTTCGGCTGCAAGCCCATAACGATTCTACCTTGCGATACAATTTGTTCTGATTATACTCGATTGACTCATCATTACAGAATGCGACCGTCGTTCTTTCGAAGCGAAGCTGGAATGCGAATTTGCAAAATCGCCCTTCCGAAATAACATGATGTCGCGTAATCGTTCTGTAATTGCCGGGTAATAACCGGACAACGAATCGACAATCGAGTTACCGAATCTCACCTCGGGTTACCCAATTCCGCCCTCTCGGCCCGATTCTCACGGGTGATTGTTAATAATGGGAATAACTCGCCGAAACTTTGCCAACTTACCGTCTACCCATCGCCACGTTCGAGCTGTGATCTGCGGTTCCTTCTGGGCTCCGATCCAGACCAGTTGGGTCCTGAGTTTATCCTTTCGCCTTTCTAGGTTGTTGAGGATAAATATAGACGATGCGCCCTGCAAATATTATGAACATTATCATTTTGTAATTTTATTATATATAAATGCGCTATCGTCTATAAAGCATTTTAATGATCTTTTAATTTTAATATATTTAAATAATAATGTATAACAATTTTTAAAAATTGTTAAATTTATCTCATGTAGAAAAATAAAATAAACATATTTTTACAAGAAAATTTTAAATATAAGAATAAATTCTAACAACCTGGAAACCGTGAACGAGATCACCTCCGCGATTCTTGCAGTAGTTTCTCGCCTCTTGGAAAGAACCGCCCTTCTTCACTATTATAAATTCGTAACACGTCGAATTGAAAGCGGCCAAGTCGGCATCAGCAGGCGTGCCAGCATGTGCACACCTATCTATCGAGAATTCTGCAAACATTTAAATCCTTTTCATAGCAAATATTTTTTTCTCTTAAATACGCGATTATTCTGATATAATTTAAATTATACGATTCAGTCATACACGTTAGGGAAAGAATTATTATTATTATGATTTGCATCCAATTTTTTAATTATTTCTTTTTTTAGCTTTGGCATTCCTCATTATTTATTTATTTAGTAAAATATTTGTGCGCGCGTGCTATTTATTAAAAAATAAAGTGAATTCAAGCTTTGTATGGAAGCTTTAACTTACCATCCGTGGCGAAAACTTCCACCTCGCAGAGACTCAAACTACCTTCGACACCAACAAGTTGCAGAAAGACGTATTGGCCCACTAGAGCTCTAGCACAGATGAAGGTCTTCGTGATACCCTCCTCTACGAGTTTGATTTATCATTGATTTTAATTCATTCGATTTAATTTTTTAGGAAACATTCAGAACTCTGAATATATATCATGAAATAATTTAAAATAAGTAAATTTTTAAAAGATAATTAACATCTTTTTCCACATATTTTTTGCAACATTCGATACATAATATGTACAAATGTTTTTTATAATAGATAAATAAATTTTTAAGATAATTAATAGGCATCTTTTTCAAAAATTTTACAACATTTGATGCAGAATAATTGTAGGTCTTTTAATACATTAAATACAATAATACATTAAAAAAGGAACAAAAACAAAATGTGAAAATGTCCTGAATGGTTTCTTATTAACGATTCGTATTATTCATAGCTGTCTCTCTCGAAACACTTACCAATAGTACCGGGAAACCAGGCGCACAGAGGATTGCGTTGCAATTCACCGCTGCTGTTACCTACTCTTATCTCAATATCCTGAAGAGGTTGATGACCTGCCGAGCAATCGATAAGTCATTATTCAGGCTAGTCGTATCTATAGTCGGGTCTTAAAATAAACATACAATCGTGTGCGCTGAAGCTTAAGAGAAAGAGAGCCTCAAAAAAATAAAAAGTTATATTAAGTAATCTTCTTTTCTCTAATTTAAAATCAGATTTAAATTTATTATTCGTCTTTATCGAATAAGAAAATTTTGAATATAATAAAATAACGTATTGAAATATCAAGATATTCATAAATTAAAACGAATTTATAGAATAATGTGACCATTGCATTGCAAGTTATAATCCTCTTAAGTCTCGAATATGAAACGATTATGCGGAAGTTTACCACAACAGCCTCGCGTCGTCACCCGAACAACCTTGACGGAATACGGTTTGAGAAGGTCGACTCTCCACCAGGGACTGGGCTCGCTTTGAGTTTCCGTGCATCTTTTCCCATCGTGTTCTGTGCTAAAGTCACCGTCATTACCGTGATTTGCATTTCCACCCCTCACGGTCGTCGATTGATTTGCTGGTTTGCGAAAACCCACATTCGTACCTGTCGTATTATTTGTTTTTTATTATAGTTTTGTCATCATAATTTCTTCCTAGTGAAACCAAAATTCAAAATCCTAATTTTAAGCAAATTTCTGTTAATTTTATTTAATCAGTTTATTATTTCATTGTCATGATAACTTCATGAAACATCACTTGTTTAGCATTTATTATTAATCGCACTTTAATCATAATTTTTAGTCATCAGAAACGTCGGTGATTAAATAATAAACTGCTTACTAACGGCAGGATGTGTTTTGATAATTATTTATAATTATCGCCGAGAAATAATTAGTTGTCTGACAAAGCAACAATTGCTTGTCGTTACCGTTGTTTCCTATCGTGTGTCGATATACTATATTATGTATTTTTTTTTATTCATGTTCTATATCTTTAGACTTGATTCTTGGGATCAATTCGCGACGCCCTGTTGCCGTTATTTCACGGAAATGGTGCGGATCGTTCCGCTATAGCCAAACAATGACAATGGCAATTACATTTTCTTGTAGTCCGACTTTTTTCGTATCACAGAGAAAGTCAAAACCGCTTTTTTTGTAATCATGTAATAATTTAAAAAATCGATCGTCGCGAATCGAATATTATTCGTTGAATAACGCAGTGAGGTTTGTAATAGGAATGTAATAGAGAGAAAGAGAAAAAAGAGAGAAATTTCACGCAATTGAACGAGCGCTTTCAAGAGGATGTCCCACAACTGTCATTTTTTCCTTTTTTATTTAGAAATCTCTCAAGCAACTGGTTTACAATTTTTACTTCGCGATAATATTGTCCGTAAAATTATTTCATGATTTTTATAATTATTTTTTTACAGCTCAATTGTAGAATCTTGGCAAAGTGAAAATTGAAATAAAATTCTTGAAATTCTTTAATGTTTAATTAATAATTTCTAATTAATAATTTCTAATTAATAATTTCTAATTAATAATTTTGCACGAAAACTATTATCATGTTGCTTGTTCTCTGGGAGAATTAATGATAATTTTGGAACACCCTATATGAAGCGAGGGAAAGTAGTTTGATTGGTATTTTAAGGCAAGCAATTTGATGTTCTCTCCGACGAAAATGCGACTCTCGTTCGGCGATTCCTGTCGAGTTCATGTCTTCCAGTCATATCAGGAAAACAAATTTCATTTCGTGCGATGGAGAAAGTTGATTGTTATAGTCGACACTGATGAGGAAAACGAACGCGAACACCGGACGAATTATAAGGATGCATAATTAGTATAATTAGGGTGCATATTAGAAATCACGGACATTGAGAATTAATCAACCTTATCGACATGTATAACATGTATGTGTAATTGCCATTACTGGTGGTGGAACGTCATTTGTATAATACAGTTTATTGTTGTCGATTTGAAGAAGGGCCGCGAGAAAATGAATACTCACCGCAAAACGGTAGATCGCCCTGCCATTTTCCTCGGGCGTTGCATGTCAAACTGCCGGTTCTGAAAGAAAGTAGCAAATAGTTATCAGCTGATACAAAATGTGCATTATCGGTGACCACGCGGACATCACTTTCTCGTGACGTTACGCAACTGATAACAGGTGTATCGGCTTCGTTATGCGTGTTATGCATGAAATCTTTTGTCGGACCGTTGGAGCGAAAAATGTTACTTATAACTTTTTGTGCGTATAACCGGTGCAATTACGCGCTGCAAATGGAAGTAGGATAATGCGCGAAGCAATTGCACTTGCATTTTTTTCAAATTCTCAAGGGAGATATTTGAGGTAAAAAGACTTTTATTTATAGTAAAATAATTGTGACAGAGTTGTAGATTTCTTAGTAGATTTCCGAAGAATTATACGCTTACGCTTATGATTTCTTAAGAAAAATTGCGATAAAATGCTACAATTATATACTTAAGCATGTAATCACGTTCGATATGCTTGTTTTTACAAGGCATGTATTACACGCGGTCACATGTAATGTGATGAAAACTCGAAGAAACGTTCTGTCAATTTAATTTAATCCTGACAGTATTAAATTTAAGTGATGCTTTGAAACTTTAATATGAATCTTGAAAAATTATTTTTATCAGAGAAAGATGTAGACGTGTTCTTTTTTTTATCATAAACTGTGGTTTTACATCCAGAAATGCGACGCGAACGGGATTCTTTATTTTCCTATTTTATTCTTTAAGTTTTCTTTTTAAATAAAACGGTCTCTCGCACCAACCGTTTAAAAACGGGGAAAGTCAGTGGTGTGCCACATTATAGACAATCACTATTCTCGACGAGAAACATGCATTCCGCTCGTCGTTGCATGCGTCGAGAAGAAAATATATTCGATCGTGCGTAACACACGATCGCCAATCTCCGGTCATGTGCTCCTATGGATGCGGGGAAATTAATTTTCTCTCGCATTAATTTCACGATAAAAAGTTGGGGTTTTGTCATAACATGCTAACTATATCTTATAATCTTATATGATAAAGATATAGTGTTATTGACATATCACAGTATTCCCTTTTCCATCTACTAATATAACTTTTTTATTTTTTTTTCTTTTTTAGAAGAAGCGATAAGTAAAACTTGATAATTCTATGTTTTTTAAATACATGATGTAATTTTGAAAAATATGAGGAGATCAAGGCCTGATTCCAAAAATGTAAGAAATGTTACAAAAAATTCACAGTAAGATATCATTATAGATTATTTCGTTGAATCGTCAGATCAACTTCGATATATTGTAATTTTACTATTCCGAGAATCATGTATATGAATAATGTTATTGCGATTTTAATTAAATTTCATCATGGTGGTGGTTGATATTCATTATGACAAAATCTAACAACAGTACACTTACAAGAACCGCGAGTAAAATTTAAAGAAAAATATTATTTTTACATAATTTAAAAATTAATGATAAATTTTAGAATTTAGTGACGACGTTCATTCTGATACGATAACTTAAGAGATAGAATATTTAAGAAATGTTAGCGGTAATTAATATACACAGTATATTTAACGGTTACAAGATACATGGCATACTATTTGAAGTTTCATGATTGAAGTTCCGAATTATCTTAAATCTCGAAGGCAGAGAGTCTCAAATATGCTGAGTTTAACGTGATTTTAAGTCCCGTTAATTATATAATAGCAACTATCCAACGAAATGATATTTCCTATTATTTTTTATTTTATTTACTTATCATTTTTAGAATTTCGAGATAAATTGATAGAGTTTTTTCTTAAAAAGAGCTAGAATTTTATAATTATATCGATTATATATATCAAAATTACTAAAATTCCGTTAATTTTACAAATGAAATTCTTTATCTGAATCATTTTTCTTCAATTATATTATCAACTACTTTTAAGTTCATTTTGCAGCCTTTATAATTTATTCGCTCCTACAAAGAGAATGGCACGCTTGTCGATCGAAATTCTTTCCGGGAAAGCAATATTATCCGTGGATATCGCGCGATAGGCGTAGTCTCATTGCGTCATTATCATGAATAAACCGCAACGAGATGCTAATAGTAGAAACAACCGAGACTAATTATTATCAACTGAACTATTGAGCAGTGACACGTGTTATAAAGTAAATTTATAATATTTCTCGCCTTTCGTAAAGAACCAGTAGCTGCAATAAGTATTATCCGGTCTTTACTCAGATTTCCCATAGCCAACTAGTTGGCTGCCTATCTTTGATTGAGAAGAAAATCTGATTAAAGAAAGCCATTTACTGCGGGGAATCGGTCCCTTATTAAGAGCGAAAGGGATATATGTAAACTACTATGAGAAAAGCGTATTACAAATACTTTGTAATGCGTGCATCATATTCCAAGATTCGTAATTGCCTCGTTGTTTCGAGACAACAAATAAAAAATTATCTCTTATTTACTTTTTTTATTTTAATTCTAAAAAAAACCAGCATAAGCAGATTTGAGATATCTTTAAAATCGACAAAGTTGCATTTTTTCTCAATTATGTGCAAATATTTCTTTAATATAATTTTTGAATTAATTTAATTCAACTAATTCAATTATAAAAATCATTTTAAATAAGAGAAAAATGGACTTGAGATATTTTTTTTTTAAATTGCTAGAGCTACATTTTTTTGTTAATTGTAAATATATTACAACTTTTAAACGATACAATTACAACATCTGTAAACTAATCTGATAAGATACGTCAGTGATTTTTTTATCTTAAAGTTCATTATTTTTTTTTTTCAAAATGATATATTTTTTATGATTTAGATTATGAACAATATTATTGTTACAAATAACTATAAATACGAACACTATTATTTTTTCTACTTGAAAATTTAATTTGTTAAAAGTAGGATGTTTCAAGTTCATACAAGTATTATTGTAATGCATTGTTGTACGGGAATATGCACTTACCCAAACAACTCATATCCAGTATCACAGGTGTACTTTGCAACGGTGCCGACCGTTAAGGATTCCTCAGATAACGATACTTTGGCGTTCATCGGCACAGCCGGATGGCCGCACTTTAGTCCTGTAATCAGCAAAATTACGGACGTTTAGTTACTTGAAGGTAAGCCGCGCAAGTAAACGATGGCATCTCGTCGGTAAAAATATCAAATTGTAACCGCATAACTGTCTATTATATTCGTAATTTGCGTGAAACCGTTTATGCGATTTCCTAGCATAAAACAAAAGCGTTAGATTCTCTTGCAAGCGCGAATCATCTCAATTACGTTTAAAATTTCAATGTTTATAATTTCTAGATGATTTATGAAAATTGTATGTGTATTTATTTAATTAATGGAACAGTTAATGAAAAAATATTAGAACCTTTTTTGATATAGTGAGATTTCTAATTTGAAAATAATTTTTATGTTTCTGATTAATTTGAATAAAAATAAAAATTGGAATATTTTTATATTTTAAATGAATAATTTTATTCATCTTGATCTAATTATCGAGCTCGGATGTATCAGCGCCACGATGACGCTTGATCTATATATAATGCTTTTTTGCGACTTCTATCAATTACAACTACTTTTTCGCATTAATGAGTAACGCTCGATTGATCGAATTTTCAGGGCATAACACAGATCGATCCAACGTGAATAAGATTAACGATTGGTCATGCTCGAAAAGGCAAACAGTAGTCACATTCATGCCGGCGACAATTTGAATAATCGCAAGAATCCGTTAGAACGATCTCTATAGAAATCTTCAAAGAAATGCATCTAGGATTGTGACATTTGCTGATGCCATCATTTAAATCACTGACTTGAAAACGAGATCTTAAGCGATTTCACGTTTAGCTCTCTAGTCATTTTTATAAGCAATGAAAGTTTTTCAAATCTAAGAGCATTGCTCTCTTAAAACTGTTTACAGCAATTTTGTTCTTTTCTTCGTTAATATATCGGTAATTTCAAGAGCTATAACTTTTCGTTGTTCGGGCATTACTTCACGAGCATAAATTAAACGGACGTTGTAAAAGCCTTGGACGGGATCCCACGCGAATTCCATTATACGTATTCTATAGCTTCCACTCATATTATAGTTAGATTCACGCGTCAGAAAAATACGATGATAATAATGTCTTATTCAGTCTAATTTTTCTTATTTTGATAAATATTTTTAATTTATATTTTCGTTGTTTTGATAAATATTTTTAATTTATACTTTCCTTGTTTTGATAAATATTTTTAATTTATATTTTCCTTGTTTTGATAAATATTTTTAATTTATATATTTTCCTTGTTTTAATAAATATTTTTAATTTATATTTTCCTTGTTTTGACAAATACTTTTTATTTGATGATGAATATAATTACACATTTATGATCCGAAGAGAAAGCGTATTATTTCCGGAATACTGTGTATATTAATGTTAACTGGATGAAAATATAAGGCATTCCCGAAGAGAGACCCGTTGATGCGCTCGCATAAGGCGAACTTTTTTTTCATAGGGAAAGTCTATTGGATCGCGATGAAAATGTGCCAAAGGCTAGCAATTTGTGTCTCGAATTGTGTGAGGAAGGTCATATCGTGCCACGTGAAATTCATGTCGTATTTTCTATGAGAAAATTCTCTTCGCCATCGATGGTGCATTTTCCGCGCATTTTTCTGAGTACGCTTAAACGTGAAAGTGCCTTTCTCTATCTCCCTTCGTGTCATTTTCTTTCGTCTTCGCTCCAGCATTCTCACATGTATTTGATTTCATTTAACCCTTTGCGGTGTAGTGGTCATGTAGCGGTATCGCTCTTTCAAACTGCATTTTTAAAACTTTACACGTCTCGCTTTTCGAAATTATCTTGACATGATGGACCACGTTCCGCTTGGTTTGTCGTAACTATTATGCGCAATGTCGAAAATTTTTTGTCATTAAATATTTTAATCACGCACAGGTAAAGATATTTATACATAGAATATAAAAAATTAAATGCCTTTTTAATAGATAGAAAAATAATCGGCCCAAGATATCTTGTGAATCTGCAAGTAAATTTTGAATTTTTAGCTTGAATTCACACATGTAATCTTAACAGTATTCCTCAACCTTCCTTTCTATTTAAAAAGAAACAAGAAATTATAAGGAATTTGTTTTTCAATTATATTTTATTAAAATAATTGTTAGCCATAAGTCACTTTTTGTAAAATTAAATTATAAATTTATTTCTAAAATATTCTGGATTTTTATTATCTCGATTGAGATGTGATTCTTACTTATCATCTAAGCATTGAGCAAAAAAGAAGGAGAAAAGAGCCGATACAATCTCGTCGATTACATGCGAGGTCGTGCAACTAGTGGAATGATTTCCTGTCGTATTTTCAAGGTCAATCGCGGCAAATCACTTTAGATTTTTAAGAAAGCTCAGTATCATGAATTTCCTATAATTATTCTATATTATTGAGATTGACTAATTCATAAATTCTTCAAATTTTATAATACAAAACAATGGATTGGCTGGCTATTACTATTGGTTCTCTCATGATAATTTTCAAATAATTTAATTACTATAAACAATTAATAATCAATATTATAAAATAACGTCCATGAAAGAAGAGTCATATAATTTTTTTGTCATATGTTTAAAAAACAAGAATATATATCTAAAAAAATCGCTTCCGCGCAAAAGATATTTGCAAAGATTAAGAATTACAACATTTATTTCTTAGATAAATAAAAAAATAAAAGTATATATATTTAAAATTAGTAAGTAATTTTTATAATTGTTGATTTATTTCATAATAGATATGATATTAATATCATATCTACGGAAATAAATGTTAAAGCTAGTTAAATTTCTTTTTATATATAATTTTTTTCAGATATATGATTATAAGATACGTTATTAATGTAATCATGAGAATCACTATTCTCGCACACTTTCGCAAACCGCATAATCGCGAATCTAACGTTAAAAGAGAAGGAAGAGAAGATCTCTTTCTCCACGCGGAGAGGCTCTGGAGGCGTTTCGTTAATTTTAACTCCGTGCGAGGCTGACATCTTCGGAGTGAAAGCCTCCGGTTATTATGTTCCGATCCGAGACGCGCTCTCGAGAGAGAATCGCATTTCTCACGAAGCGGAACATAATTCTTGCGTTCCTGTGCATGCGTGCGAACGGTTTAATTAATGGCCGAAATTTTGCGTCGACGACAAGTACATATCTCTTAGGAATTATAGCGATGATTTTTAAAACAGTGGACAATATAATCATTCAAATATATATATCGACGATATTACGTTTTTTTCTGATCTCTTTATAATTTTTAGAATTTTCAACTGATTTTGAAATTATTTTTAATAAGCACAACCCTAGAATACAGAAAAAAATAAAAATCGATTTTTAGTTATATCTGTCATTTTATGAAATGTAGTAAAATTTTTATGCATGATTGGCTCATCGTTCGCCAATTGTCCCACGAGGTTTTTTTATTCCGATTCCCAGATGATGAATTATTTTCACTTGGCGGATGACTAGGCGCCTGTTCTACTTCGGGCAATCTCGACAATGGAATTTCTTCCTTTTCTCCACTTTTTTTTCTCGGATTTTAATTACTTTCGCCATTATATCGCGTCGCGATCAACCGTAGTTGAGTACACGCACGCGAAGCTATATTTTTTTCGCATGATGCGATAGCGCTCATATAAATCCCACATGATTATATGCTGTATATTTCAATTCGCGTGTGAGTGAAACAATTATCTTTCAATATATCTCTCCTTTATACATTTCACAGAATTTCCATATGAATTAGCAGAAGAGCCTTTTAATTAATTGCATTGAAACGGGCTGTTTAAGGAGTTTATTTCCTCATACATTTTTTCTAATGAATTAATGTAGTGTATCATTTTGCATTGACATTGAATATGAGATAATATTCACATTATATTCATAAATGATTCATGTCATAGATTTTTGGAAATTGTTTTAGTGACACTGTTAAGACATTTGAATTTTCAAAGTATCCAAATCTTATCTTTTTCTTTAATATTATGATATTTTACATTAGCATATCTTTATTAAGAAATATTCTTTTATAGAAACAAATAAATATAAAAATTATGGCACACATATACAATTTTTAAACGTTGCAAAAAATTTCAAGTTTTAATAGAAAAATTATTAAAGTTATATAAATAAATTACAAATTAACATAATATATTTATACAAAGATTTTTATAAACATATACATATTTTCAAAAAATTTTCTAAATTGCGATTGCAAAATAAGATTGTCCAATTAAAATTGGATATGATAATAACTCGACAGGACTACAGTCGCAGTTAGCGTTAAATATCATATCGCAGGAATTGTTGAAGTACCGGTAGCAGTAATTAGAAACCCGTTTCACGAGGAATCATCAATGTGATGGCCGCAAGAAAATCTACGTGAAAAACCGGTCGAAGATTTCCGCTTAATAACGATGCGCTGGCGACGTGAGCGAGTCCACGGGTCTGGGTCACTCGGTTACAAAACCTCCAAGCCGAAATAACGGTACACGTATCCATGATATCGCTTCGGATCGGAAACCGCTGTCGGAGCGCATGTGTCACGGTACAGTTTCTCGTATACTAGTATCGATATATCGATACTTTCTGTCACTTGCGAATGTTATATATCGGAAATATGAATGCTGAATTTTAAGGATGTATTGGAAGTCTGTCTCAAAAAGTTAATCCAAAAAATTAAAGTTAGGCAGAATACGAATTCTAATTGATCAAAAATTTTTTAAAAATCACGAAATCATACTTCAAAGTATTCTTTAATATAAATAGGTCTTAATTTCCAAGAAAATGTTGTCATGTTTTATCATCAATATTGCGTCAAACCGATAATCACAGTTATTTTTTAATAATAATTTTAAAACGAGCAAGTAAATCGTTTTAAAACTTTGTGGGAACATTTTTACATGTATGAAGAATATAATACAAATACAAAATGAAATTTTTATCATTGTTTTTTATAGTTTGCGAATAATTTATTACCTGTCTCTTGAACGTTTACATAAGAGCCTATGTTAAAATCGCAAAATTC